ACTAATAAAAATATACAGAATAGCATGCTATTTGATATGTTTCATATACATTAAAACCCATGAATAATAAATGATATGCTGTTGTTAATCAATCAGTAACAATAACAACGAAAACATTACGAAAAATTAGTCAATGTATCCAGTCCAAAAATATATTTGTGTTAAATATTAACATTACACTGGCATTTGTAGTCTCCGTTMTATTTAACTCAGTTACTTAAATAATTAATGTAAATCGACCTGTTATAAAATTAAAAGGTCAAATTATTGTCTAAATATTTTAGATTTTTTTAWTGTATTTTAATTTTAAAGCAAGCTATACAAATATTAAGATGTACACACAATTTACAATTTTAATAAACTCATAACTCGCTTTAAAATAAAAATAAAAAAAAATCTATGGCATTATCTAGATTGTATTCTTATATTAAAATTGAATGCGAGGTAAATTACTTTAATTTTTGAATTAACGCAGATAAACGAGATATGCTGAACGTAGAATTTACTATGATACGCACTTGTAAGACGGAGACAACAAATGTCATAGTAATGTTCCCTTACAATCTTACGATGAACTTTATATTTAATTTTAATGTATTTAAACCACTAAAGTACATTTTTATTTATGAATCAAAAAAAAAAAAAAACTATAAAATTTCAAATGTCTATAAAAATAAATATAGCCTAAAATCAGTATATATTTTTTTTAAACTTAATTATGCATAGAACATTGAAACATTCCACATAAATTACTATTTTCAATACACAATTCAATTTTAAATTATTTTATTTTATTTAAAGTTATGTTTAAATTTATGGACATTTGACATTTTTATTTTTAATATTACTTAAATTAATGTTGATAAAAATGTACTTTCTTAATCAAAACATTTGATAATATAATATAATTATGTCAAAAATTGGTTTTTAATTTAGCTCAATTGTGCTTAAAAATTATAAGTATTATATTAATTGTTTACTTTAGAACTTCCGGGAAGTGGCGCAATTATCGGGAGTGTTGGGTGCGATTCCTGATATCTYTTGTATGATATTTGAATATTTCTACTATAATCTGTATTCTGTAGTATACAAATATTATATATTTTGTTTTACATTTTTAATATAATAAAATCTTAAATCTTTTGAGTTTAGAGAGTTTGAATTATGAGTATGAAAATATATTATTAACAACCAAAAACTTATGCAAAAGTTGGGACATACCAACGAATTATCGAACAGAAAGAACAAGATTTGCAATCAAACATTTTGATGAGATAGATGGAGATCGTCGACTAAATATTACGGAAGAAAATATAAAAATTAAATTATTTTTACCAATTATAGATACAGTACTATTTCAAATAAATTCAAGRTTTTAAGGCTTAAAAAAGTTAATGAATATTTCCAYTTTCTACATCCATCTATATTAGTTTCAAGTAAGAAGAAGAAATAGTCAAAGCTTCTTATGATTTTGTACAATTATATCATGATAAGTCTAAACTTAACACGTCAATTATTATATCCATAAAAGAATAATTGTTTGTAAAGATTTCAGGAATAAAAAATATAAAAGATCTGGCCATATTTATTTTAGAAAATGATTTTAACACTACATACAGTGATGAATTAAGTGCATGTCTTATTTATTTAACGTTAGCCATAACAGTTGCTTCGGCAGAGAGATCTTTCTCAAAATTAAAAWTGATAAAGAATTACATGCGAAACTCAATTGGCCAAGATCGTCTTTCCAACATCAGTATATTGAACATTGAAAAATAAAAAACAGCTGACTTTGATACAAACAAAATAATTAACGACTTTGCTACCGTCAAAGCAAGAAAAATTAATTTTTATACTTGATTTTATAAAATAATTATGTAACTTTTAAATAATTAAACAATTAAAAAAAAAAAAAATAATAATTATATGACATATTGACATGTGAGAAAATAATATTTTTTAATTATAATATAATAAGGTTTATGACTATTTTTTTTTTAGCAGGTAAGGGGAAAGGGCCCCAGTCTGGACATTTTCACATGGGTCCCCTTATTATCAAGTTACGCCACCATAATAATAATATTGAATATTATTATTACTTCCCCCTACCATAAACAAAAATGTATTAACTAAATCCTATATTTTTTTAGCAAAAAACACCATAAAAGTTAATCTTCTAAGCTTTTTTACAGATCCAATTGGGCACYTTTTGATAATTGAAAAATTTATATCCATTACATCGCACTAAATTTAAAAATAATTTGTTTGGTTAGCGTTAACATTCTGATGACAAATACTATATAGTATATAGCATTATTATAACCATTAGGAACTACCATAAAGTCTAATAATAAACAATTTTAATCAAATTTTAATTTTAAAACTAGAACTGCCTGTAAAAACTTGATTATTCTAAATATTGTAACTGATATCAATGTAATCACGGGCTAAAATTGAGCACGAACCAACAGTAACGTCCACTATACAAACCATTCATATAATAATTAACACTATCGGTGACTATTGCCGAATTCAACAGTGTCACTTGACCATTATTCATTAGTAATTACCTATAATCAGATTGGCTTTGCACTGTGCCACTCCGAAATCATTGACTGCTTTCACAGTGTAATCGTTTACGTCCAATTCCGTAGCATTACAGATTGTTAGCGTTGACTCGCCGGTCTCCGATGTATAAGATACGATATGACTTTCGTCTGGCAAGATTTCTTCGTCTCCGCGACACCATACAATGGTAGGCATTGGTGTCCCGGTAACCAAGCAACGAAGTTCTACAGTTTCGGTTGGCTTGACGGCTTTGGGTTTGATCGGGACGATAAATTTTGGAGCAATTCCAGTATCATATTTTTCTGTAAATTCAACATTATCAAACATTTTTCTGATAAAGAGAAATAAAAAATTGTGATCGTTCAATTTCTTTTGAGTTTCACTCTTTGGGGAAGCAATGTTTTTTTCAGAGAAAATTATATTACATTTTAATTTATAGTCATTCTACACATCATTGCTCACAAAACTCGCTTGCGAAAATAACAGCAGTATAACAAAGGTGTACCTATCTCAGGTCAAATTATTAAAGGGATAATTGATTAATTTAATAAGTATCCTAACCCTACCTTTTATGAGATATAMTAATGTGTATCAATTAATTAACAAAATGTAATATTTATTATTATTATGATTAGGTACTTTTACAATCTAAGATAGAGATATTGCATAATTTTTAATACTGATTACCGATAATGATAGATACGCACCATATGGAATTTTAAAAACCAAAAACWCACATATTTTACAATCATCAGCATTGTTAATCTATTATAGCTACTTAGATAATTTTATTTCAAAACAAATGGTAAATTACATAATTACAATACTAACCTAAAACTAAATTCGCTCTGCACATAGCTCTTCCAAATTTATTTATTGCTTCTACAGTATAATGTGCTTCATCAACTGTTGTTGGTTTTTCAATGGTTAATGTGGATTCTCCAGTCTCTGGAATAAACTGAATTGTGTGCATGTCATCAGGAACAATTTCTTCTTTTTCACGACACCAAACAACAGTTGGCATCGGATTACCATTCACCAAACACCGTAAAATAGTTGTTTGGTCTGGTTTTGCTAGTACGGGCTTAATAGGCTCAACAAAAGTTGGGGCTACACCAAAAACATCTTCTTCTGAAAATATTAAATACATAATCAATTAAATTCATATTAAAATCATTAATAARCTTTTATAGTGTATAATATATTTGTTCAACGATGTTACTTACGTAGAATTACATTTGCTCGACATTGAGCTCTGCCATATTTATTAGTTGCCTTCACAGTGTATGTGTTTTGATCAACTTCTGTGGCCTTTGAAATAATTAGTTTCGATTCACCCGTATCCGGTATAAATTCAATTGAATGAGTGATATCTGGAATTATTTCTACATCACCTCTAAACCAAATTACAGTAGGTGTGGGTATTCCTTTAACCAAACAACTTAATTCGGTGGACTCATTAGCTTTGGCGATCTTTGGTTTTATTGGTTCTACAAAYATTGGTGCTTCGCCCGATTCATCTTTTTCTAATAAACATATTTAGATAATTAATAGGATATATTAGACATTTATAAAACAAACTTACGTATAATTAAATTCGCCCGGCATTGTGCTTGGCCGTATTTATTCACGGCGTTCACGGTATACATAGTTTCATCGATTTCAGTCGGATTTAAAATCGTTAAGATCGATTCTCCAGTTTCCTGGTGGTATGTAACCAAGTGACATTCATCAGGAATTATTTCATCATTTCCACGGCACCAAATTACTAATGGGTTCGGTGTTCCTCTAACAGTACATTTAAGTTCAGTTATTTCATTTGATTTGGCAATTTTTGGTTTAACTGGTTGTACAAATGTTGGTGCCTCTCCAAGTTCATCTTTTTCTAATTAAATTTAAAAATTAATTAACTACAAATATATTTTATTAGATACAATGTTACTTACGAACTATCAAATTTGCCCTACACTCAGCTCTTCCAAATTTATTAATTGCGTTCACTGTGTACGTTGACTCATCAATATCATCAGGATGCACTATAATAAGTTTGGACACTCCTGTTTCAGGAGTGTAAATTAGCATATGATTTTCATCTGGAATAATTTCTTCATCATCACGGCACCATACTATTGATGGTAATGGAACACCTCTGACTAAGCATGTGAGTTCAGTCGTTTCATGGGCTTTCACAACTTTCGGTTTCAATCGTTCCACAAACTTGGGCGCTTCACCATATTCTTCTTTTTCTGAAATTAAAATATATAATTTTTTTAATTTAATTTAAGTCAAAATCGTATAATGTATTACCAAATGTAATATGTGCCATGCATTCAGATTTCCCGTGAATATTCACCGCCCTAGCTAGATACGTGGATCGGTCTACATCCATAGGATTTACTAATGTTAAAATGGCTTCACCAGTTTTAAAGTCAAATGAAGTTCTATATTCGTCATCGT